AACACAGTTGATGTGAGCATGGCACTTTAACTTCACGTATGGTAGAGTAAGCAGGCCTAATGCTGGACATCTGGTTAAGCAGTTCAGTGTCACTACAAAAGGTGGACAATTGGATCTATGCAGCCTAATACCCTCTCTGTAACTGGAAGTGGAAGATTTTTTTTTCTCTACAATTTTGAAATCTAATAAAATCAAAACTTCTTAAGTGCAGAAACAAGAAAAGCCTTCTCAATTTGCTAAGCTCATTCTTGATAGTTACAATTATCAGACTCTACCTAATAAACCAAGTGATTCATAACAGATCATGGTGTTTATGTAGTCTTATTCTTCTTTTCTGCCATTTGTTGAACCGAACCATTGCTACAAAGAAATTCTTGCTGGGTTCTGTACATGTGCATGTTTTAAGAAGAATTGTGTTTATAGCAGTCCAGTCCTGATTACAGAATTTCCTTACATTTTAATATAAAATTTGCCTCTCTTTGCTGCAGGTGGAACACAGGAGTGGGGTGGAAGAGGGGGTACACTGCTTTGGAAGTTCAGTCAAAAGGGTGGAAAAATATAATTAGGGCTGGGGCTAATGCAAAGCACTTGCTGAACCTGCCTTGGTTAATGGACAAAGCCAAAATTTAAGCAGGGAAATTGAGACTGGAGCTGCCTAGAGGGAAAGCAAAAAGCCTACTGGTGGGACAAGGAGAGTGCAAAACTGAGGCACAGAGCCAAGAATGTGGATATTAGGAGGGGAGTCTGAACATCAGCAGATTAGGACCAATGAAGATTTGCAGGAATTGAACCCCAACAATGATGTAGATGTCAGCTGTCACTTGTGGTTTGTTACTAGGGAGCGTAATGCTTATACTAGCCATGAAGGATTTGTTAGTAAATGTGACCTATTAATTTCTAAGAGACATTGAGATAATTATGATCTTTTGTGTAGACTATGTGCTAGTTCTTCTTTCAGGTTTTATTTTTTTGTTTGTTTGTTTTCATCTTAGAATTTTCTTTGCTCTAACTCTCTTCTTATCCAGAAACATTCTTAGCCTCTGATTGTCCCATGGTTGATTGGTGTTCTTTCCTGCCATTCAGATCTTACCTTAAATGTCACTTCTACCAAGAAGCTTTCCTGACAACACAATCTAAAGAATCTGTTTAGGACTTCCTCCATAATATCTCTAATTTTCAACACAGGATCCAGCTGACATTTCTTCCTTCTTTCCATTCTTTCTTCACTTCCTCCTTTCTGCCCACCTTTCCTACTAGATTTCAAGTTCCATGAGAGTAAGAACCTTCACTGTCCCATTTCCTATGGTAGCTTCAGCACAGAGGAGAGTAAGTGATTCTTAATATTCCTCAATAAATATTTTAATTAAATTATAAACAGATGGATATTTGCTGCATTAACAATTATTTCTTAAATGTGCTTGTTTTATTGCCGAGCTTTTAACGTTTTTTCCCCACTATATTAAAGAGGAGTCATTGAAGAATCCTGTTGTCCTATCCCAGAAGGAGCAAGGGGACAACATTGCTATCCTGACCACTAACCATTCAGCACCACTTAAAGGTTTCTATATTTTATGGCACAGGAAATAGGATGTATTAGTCATTCATTTCTTAGTAGTAGAAGACTGCATAAAAACCACTTGTAATTCTTCCTGTTTATTCTAAACCAGAGGTCCCGAACTCCCTGGCTGTCTACCAATACCAGTCTGTGGCCTCTTAGGGACCGAGCTGCACAGCAGGAGGTGAACGGTGGACAAGCGAGCATTACCGCCTGAGCTTCACCTCCGCCGTGGAAAAATTATCTTCCACAGAACCGGTTCCTGGTGCCAGAAAGGTTGAGGACCACACTTCTAAACCACCAGCATTACATGCTTCTAAGATATTTCCCAGAAAAGGGAAAGTGGGCAACAAATAGTATTATAAAAGCACCTCCGTCATCATGATCTTATATTTAAGTGGTTGATAGGAGGATTGCTGAAGAAAGAAATGTTAGTTAGGAATCTCATGCACAAAATATTAATTTTGTTTCTAAGTAAAAATAATAAAAACGCTAAACAGAAGTATTATGTGTCCCTGAGCATTTAAAGAGTCAAAACCTAAGGTCAAAAATTATTAACATCTTTCACAGCCTCTGCTTTACCTGTTTTTCATTAGAATCAACCGGGGGCACTCTTAAATAATACAGGTACTGGGTTCCATACTCAAAGACTGTGATTCCACTAGTCTGTGTGGGACCAGGGCCTTTATAGATAGCCTTAAGTTCCTAACACAGATACATTTTAGGAATGGTAATTAGAGTATTGTTTATAATGGAGAAAGATTGAAAATGATTTAAATATCCTTAAAGTGTTGTTGTCACAGCAGATGTAATAAGATGGGAAAATATTGACAACATATTATAGCATGAAAAGCTTAGGTTTACATCAAAGAACAGAAAGCAAATGGTCCTGCTTAAAATAGATGTATTATTTTTAAAGTTTCAATGGTACGTTCTTTCTGTTTCACTGAAAAATAAAGTTAGTTAAATTAGGTTTTTCTGTGTCTGCTAATTGGTGTTCCTTTTTAAACATTTTTAAAATTTTTTATTGACATGATCATTGTACATATGGGGTACGCAGTGATGATGTGATACAGATAATGTATAGTGATCAGATCAGAGTAATTAGCATATCCATCATCTCAAACATTTATCTTTCTTTGTGTTGGGAACATTCAATAATTGGTTTTACCTTGTGGAGTGTGAGCCATACTATGAAAAAAAAAAAGAGAGAATCCAGGTGCAGTGGCACACACCTGTAGCCCCGGTTACTCAGGATGTTAAGTCAGGAGGGTCGTTTGAACCCAGGAGTTCAGGGCCATAGTATATAATGATCTTGCCCGTGACTTGCCACTGCACTCCAGCCTGGGTGGCAGAAGGAGACCTTGTCTCTAAAAAAAAGAAAACAAAAAACAAAAAAGAGAGAGAGAGAAGTGTTCAGCACTGTGCTGCTGTCTCTGATTCCTACAGGAGGATGCTGAATTTGACCTTGCCCCACCTCCTTGAGGTGCAGAATTCTCAGACCTGCTGAGCGGAGGTGGACAAATAGATCTTTGGCACCATTATCTTAGACTTTGGGACACGAAAATCTTTAAGTTCCAGAGCCTAAAATGCTACTAAAAATGGAGGAGGAAATGATAACCTAGACCATGGGCACCTCAGAAAAAGAACAAGACTTAGTTAAATTTGTCAAAAAACAAACAAACAGAAAAAAAAAAAAAAAACCCAATAGTATCATTTTTTTCCCTATTTAAAAAGGTTGAGGGAAAGAATAACATTTTTTATTCCTTCCTGGGCCTGGGTCTGTCTCTGCAGGACAGGAAGAATCTTGGTATTACTTGTTAAGCCCTGTCATCACTGTTCTTTTAGAGAAAAACAAAACATTGCACCCGGAAGTTTAGTGATTATCTGCTCTGGCTGGCCATGCTTTAAAGGTGAAGCAGCTCAGGACCAGGGGTCCTACAGCCAGCCATAGACCAAGGCAGTTTCTGCTCAGTCCACCTCCAACCCTGTCCTATCTGCCTGACAAGGCTCAGAGTTATTGTTTCCCAAACAAGTCCAGAGAGGTAAAGTCAGAATGCTGAGAAGGAAAAGAACCTGTAAAACACAGGACAAACACTTAAGTGATCTGAGCTGAAGAGATCTGTAGTGAGAAGACCCTGCATGCCAGGTTTTGTGTTCTCAAGGATCAGCAAAACAGATGCTATGGCCTGGCTAGTCGTACTGGCGTAGGAGGCAGGACTCAACTCCAGAGGTGGGGCCAGACATCACATCGGATTGAGGACTAGCTAAAACAAGAACAAGGTGGAAGCAGCTTTCCTTAAGACATGCCCACCAACATGCCATGTAAGCTTACCATTGTCATGGCAACACTCAGAAGTTACCATCCCTTTCCATGGCAATAACTTGATGACCTGGAAGTTACTACTCTTTTTCTAGAAATTTCTGCAGAATCCCCTTTAATTTACATGTAATTTAAAGTGGTTATAATTATGACTGCAGAACTCTGTCTAAGCTGCTACTCTCAGCACACTATGGAGCCCTGCTCTGTAGGAGCAGTCATGGAACTGTAACACTGCTGCCTCAATAAAGCTGTTTTCTTCTACCACCAGCTCAGTGTTAAATTCTTTCCTGAGCAAAGCCAAGAACCCTCCCAGGCTAAGCCCCAGTTTGAGACTTGCATGTCCTGCATCACTAACTTATTAATGTACTAAGATTTTTAGGAATCAAGAAAAAAAATTAACTAATCTAAAATACACAGGGTGGATGAAGTTGAAGTTGAACTTTTATTATCTCAGTTAGCATGCAGTGAGGACTCAAGATTTTAGTGTCATGGTCCTATAAAATTGGATGGAAAGAAAATGTATGCAAAGGATGAATCAGGAGGGCAAAAATGTTTAAGTCTTTCATTAAAAAAGACACTCAACACAGTGCAAGGTTTCAATACTATGCAGTGGGGTGGTGTATGTTAGGAGAGTTTAGACCTTAGAAGGAATATGAATACATATAAAATAATCCACATGAGTCTTTCACATCTGCATTTACCTTGGAGCACTTCTATTCAGTAATAAGGCAGGTATTTTGTTTTACTTTATTTTATTTATTTCAACTTGTCAAAATTAACAAAGGCTAAACCTATGGTTGCAAATTTATTTTCCCAACAAGTAATATCATTCATAATACCACTGTCCTATAAGGAAAGGAACAAGGAAGTGACATGTTCACTTTAACCTTTTATATTATAGTTTTAAATAGAATAATGAAAGAAAGAAAGAAACAAACAAAGAAACAAAGAAAGAAAGAGAAATAAAGAAGAAGAAAGAGAGAAAGAAAGAAAGAAAGAAAGAAAGAAAGAAAGAAAGAAAGAAAGAAAGAAAGAAAGAAAGAAGAAAGAAAGAAAGAAAGAAAGAAAGAAAGAAAGAAAGAAAGAAAGAAAGAAAGAAAGAAAGAAAGAAAGAAAGAAAGGTTGAAACCTCAGTGCCATATGGAGAAGACAGCTAATTGGTAAGAAAATAATTTTTATTTCCAGTTTTGAATGGGTAATAAAAACAACTGAGAGGAAGGAAAAATAACATTATACAGTATGTGGTGGCAGTTTCCTTTGAAGTAATCATGCATTGAAGTATAAAGTTGTACATAGCTTGGAGAAGTGTGCTGCTTCTCAGATACTCAATTGGTTAAAGGCAAACAAGCTAGTATAAAGTGGCTGGGTACAAAGATGTCATTTCCTCCTCCCATCAAATTAAAGAGGGTTGTAAAGTTTTTCTGTGTGTGGCACAAACAGTGGTGTGCTTTACCTACTGTCACCTTGGATCACTGTGATAGGACTTGCTGGTAAACATTATTGCATCATGGATTTAAAGAGGTATCACCTCTTTTTCATTTGGCTGGAAGATGATAATCAGCAGACAAGTGTCTCCTGATACTCATAGGAGGGAGCAAAACAGGAGATCAGATGCTTCCTACTCTCTACAAATAACTGTCTGCAAATGCCTGGGTTTGTCAGGATTCCAGAAGATAGTGAACATTTTTCAGCTGGCGAAGCGCTGCCTCTTTGACTCTGATCTCTGCATCTTATCAAAGTGTGCAAATTATTTAGCAACTGTGACATTATTTATAGGTATGAATTGAACAAATTAATCTCATAAATAATTCATTTGGGGGCCTGTGAATTAGCAGTGCACCACAGTAAAATAAAAATCTACTTTTACAAAGCTGATATCAATTGTCATTGTGAGTTAGATTCAGTCTTTTTTCAAACAACATTTTAGCATATTGCATGTGGCCTTTTTTTAGGTTTAGAACCAAGACTGTGCAGATGAGGTGAACACAGGTATCTACACAATCTGTTGAAGTGCTCTGAAAATAATAAAAGGAATATAAGTGGGGAATTCTGGTGTGAATTATCCAGATAATTGCTGCACTTTTTCGATTCACCTTGGGTGCATAGTTTTTTAAAAACTGTCTTTTTCCTTAATGAGAGTTCCGAAATATACAGATTCATAAGATGAAATAGTTTGATAGGGAAGAAAGTAGGTCTTGTCCTAACAGAACAGCAGGCTGTCAAACTATTTCATCAATCAAAAAACCAAGAACAGGCCTTAGATACCCCAAAATTCATTTTTAAAACTAGAAACAGAAGCAAAAATTTTACTTCCCTACAGTGAGACCTAAGAATGTCACTATGGACTTGAGAGAAAGACAGTCGCAAGTTTGTTTGCTAGTAGACTCCTAGGGAGCTGAACACAAAAATCCAATAAATAATTAGCTCTCCTGTGACAGGCTTCTGAATTACTGTGATACATTAATTGGACAAAATTAGCATGAATTAAGGCAAATAACTATAACATGTAATTTATTACTTACTAAGCATGGTGCTGCAGTGGAAGCTTCGGATTTCCCTTAAGATTGCTTTAACAGCTATAATGCATTCCTTAATTTACTCTGTGGAAAATCAATTTTTTCAGAGTTCATTAAGCACCAATATGTTACAATGCAACTCTCTAGAGCATAGAGCCTCAATACATTATGCAAATCCATGCCAGTGTGGCACCAATATGTAAATAGCAGTAATGTTATTGTCAGTTTCCTATTGATAAGTCTGACCAGAATGAGAATACCTAGAACTTCTTGACTTTGTTGACTTATTTTGTGTGGTTGGGGCTGTTGCATGCTGTCCTTCACTGAATATAGTGCCAATATTTCTTGCAAGGTATAGCAAGGCTTTCATCAATGACTGAAAACAGTGTCATTTCCATTAAATTCCATGCCTTCTTGTCTATGCTAACCAACCAATCAACAAGTGTTTATTAAGTATATATTTTGGGCCCAGTGGAGTCCCTTCTGAATTTTAAGTGATAATAGGCTTTATTTACCTAATTTGAGCCAGAGAAATAATTTAGGTAATCAAAGCTGCAATTTCATGGAAATACATCTCAATTCCCCATTTCACTTAGCATCAATTGACATAGGTCATATTAACAAAAAAAAACCATGTGGTTCAATTGAAAATAATTTTGTAAAAAGCAGTACATTCAAGAAAAGTATAATTGAAGCAATTTGCTTGGCTTTAAGATTTAGTAGATGAATTATTATTATAAAAATTAATATCCATAATATCTGATTTTTCAAAATTTGGTGATTTTGTTTTCCCAATAAATAGCAATTCCGTAATCCTTTATGACTTATTTTTTAAATGTTTCTTTTACTTTCTAATTTTCCACTATTTATGTTTTCTCTGGATTATTTATAGCATTAAAAAATCAATTAAGCCTCAATGTTCAGAAATAATAGAATGCTATGGACTGAATTGTATCTCCTCAAAATTCATATGTTGAAACTCTAATCCCTAGTGTGGTAGTACTGGGGATGAGGACCTTGGGAGGTAATTAGGTTTAGATGAGATCATGAGGGTGAGGACATCATGATGGAATAAGTGCTCTTATTAGAAGAGATACCAGAAACATGCTCACACACTCTCTCCCTCCGCCATGTGAGGATAGAGGGAGAAAGCACTTATCCACAAGCCAGGAAGTGAGGCCTTGCCAGAGCCCAACCATGCAGGCACTGAGATCCCAAACTTCCAGCCTCCAGAACTGCGAGGAATAAGTTTGTGTTATTTAAGCCATCCAGTTTATGGTATTTCGTTAAGGCCGCCTAAGCTGGCTAAGACATTGGGTAACAGTCGGAATAATATAAATGTGTACAATTTGGCTGGTTGCATACAAATATTATGTTGGTTTATAAAATACTAGGTAGAGTGTGATTCCTTTATTTGGTTCCAAAATATACTCTATTATATATTATATATACACAAATATATTTGTATATATAAATATATATGAAAATATGATCACTTATAGAATACAAAAATATATAATGTATATACATATATTATATGCTATATATTATTTATTATATTATATATAAATGTGTAAGATATTAAAAATACAATATATAAAATATAATATATAAGTGTATATTTTATAGATACATATTTATGGAAGATGGAAGATATATATCTAGGAGTTGTCTGCAATGAATACTTTCATTTCCTGTAATAAATGAGAGCTAAATATTATTTAAACAAAAAGGAATTATATATATATTAAATATTATTTAAACAAAAAAAATTATACAGAATTTTTTCCCCTACTGATTCTATTTCTTCTTTCTTCCCTGCTTACTTGGTTCTAGCCACACTCTCCTCTTTGATCTTTCCTGTACACAGCATACAAGCCCACAGATTGAGAGAATTGCTGTTCTCTCTGCCTGGAGCTCTATGACTCCAGACAGACTCCTGCCAACTCCTTCGCCTTGTCCAGGTTATCTTCATTAAATATCAGCTTAAATGTGTGCCTACTCTTTCCCCTACCTAGAATTGCAAGCGCCTGTCACCACTGTGCCCCCATTCTCCTTAACTTAAGCCACTTATGTTCTCATAATAAAGCCACATATGTTTTCTTATTATAACATAACCGTACTATATAATTTATATTTTATTACTTTTGTTTGTTTACTTATTGTATGTTTCTGTTCACAAGGATGTAAACGCCATGAACACATAGATCTTTGATTGTTTTATTCACTGATCTATGCCAAATGTTTGGAACAACACCTGGCACATAGTAGATGTTTGATAAATATTGTTTTTTTCTGAATGAATAAATACATTTTAGCCAAATATGCTGACTCTGCTTGTTTGGTTATATTCATGTGTGTGTGCGTGTATGTGCAGAAAAAGAAAGAAATTAGTTAATACCAAATCTATAAAATGGGAAAAATAATGCTTACCTTATAGTGTTGTTATGAAACTCAACTAATATATGTGAAGTGTCTACCATAAAATGTGGAGCATAATAAGCATTCAGTAAATGGCATTTTGTTTTACTTAACATCTGGTTGCCTATTGTTGGAGGTCGGCTCTTTAATGTGCGAATTAAGGTGTTTTATTTCCTTCATATATCAATTATAGTCTATTTATTTACTTCTAGGTAAAATCCTTTGATGGACATTTAAGCTGTGCCAACTTTTTACACTAAAAATATTTACATTCTATTGTTTCAGTCATTTTTTCTTATGTTTGCTTGCTCTTTTCCTTTATAGCAATTAATTTGAAATTACACATTTGTTAAACCATGAATTTCTTTAATGTTTGTTTTCATACTACACTATAATTTCAGTGAAGGCAGGTACTCATTTGAATTACTCACCTTTTATATTTGGAACTTGGCACAGTGTGCTTGTCACATAGTAGGTAATATATATGAAATTAAAGAAACACTAAAGACCTGAAAATAAATAGAAATAATAAAGCAAAAATGAAGGGAAGCCATCGTGAAATTGAAAACAGAGAAAATTGTTGAAAATTATTTTTATGGGATGACAATATGATCAACTCCTCTCTCTCTCTATCTATACACATATACACACACACACACACAAACATACACCAGATAGTTTGACGTATATGTATATATCTGTGTGTGTGTGTGTGTGTGTGTGTGTGTGTATATGTGTGTGTGTATATATATATAATAGTTTTCCACTAAATTGTGGACTTCCTTGTTTTAAGCCAAACTCTTTTCACTAAGTTTGTCTGACATAAAAAGACTCAAACTCAATGTAGTTGATTGGAGTGCTAGCAGTGTTTTCTATACTGTAAATCACTACCTGATTATCAAGTATACTGATGGTGATTAGCTATTTAATGATAAAGAAATTGGTCATAATAATAGGCACAAAAAATTAAGATTTATAGGCACCAAAAAAGATCTTTTTTGTGTGTGGGGAAAATACCCTGGATTTTTCCATATTTTCTGCAATAAATAAGTCCTTTTGTCAGTTTTGGTAAATGAGTATGACAGTGAGCATGGGTAAGATGTTCTATACTTTTTCTAATGAAAAATTGGGCTGAGGATTCCAATACTGCTGTTTCTCGGCTGGACAGTGTTTGTTAGTGTATGCTACAATTTTACCAAGAAATAAAGGGAGTTTGGGAATGAGAGAAATTTTGATGCTTCAGCATTTATATAATTTTTATTTTATTGGTTTTTAAAATGGAAATACAATGCAAATTATATGGAGAGTAAAACTGATAAGAATTAGAAGGAAAAAAATTAACTCATAATTCAAAAAATTGGAAATAAGGAAAAAGAGTCCAACAAACTACTAGAGTAAAAGTTAAAAAAAATCGCTGCTAAATTCTACATAATCTAATTGTCACGAAGAAGTCACTAGAATGTTATTTCCATGCCTAGGAGACATCATGTTTTCATTACTGAATTCTTAACACCTAGAGCAGAATGAAAAAGGAGTCAGTCAGGAAGTTGGCTAGAGAACTAGTCTTTTAAGTATGTCAAAACATTATCGTGGCATCAGATATCTCTGGAAACATAACAAGATGGTGAAAATGGTGTTTCCTTATTTTCTCTTACGAAAAACATTCTATGAAGCAGAAAGAAATATTTTGTTTTAGCTTGGAGGGTGTAATAAAATCCAGCAGCTTCTCAGGTGGTAGATGTAGTTCTCTGAGGGGCTTTGGTTTTGCTGAATACTGTGTGGATTTTTAAGCCCAAACTGATTTACCTGGACTAAGAGGAGGTACTGAGCTTTGCATTCGTCTAACCATCCAGAGCAGTGGCCCCTTTCCCGTTTTCACAATGAAATTCTTAGCCTCTATCCTAAGTGCATGAAAAAGAAATATTTAGAGACAATCACTTTTAAAGGATACCCTATTGATCATGCCTTGCTCTAGGATCCCACTGTTTTCATAGTTCTTTTGTCCCTACAACACCTAAACATTGTGACATTCTTTTCTGTTATAGTTGTCGTCACAATGGAATGGCTGAGAAAGATTTCAAGTCTCTGGGAAAAAAATCAGATGTAAAGGAGGCTGGCGGAAAATACGTTTGTTTGTGAAAGGTTTGATTTGATGACTTCATGGCTTCATATGGACATAGATTATGTGGGAGAAATGCTGACACCTCTGGAATGCTTAGAACACAGCTAGTGAAATTTTGATAACAAGTGTCCATAAATATGTATTTTACAAGTAGGTTTTGTGAATGCGTTTGATAAACACATACGATGGTAAGGTCAACAAAGTATGACTCAAAAAGTATTTATGGAGCAGAGTGTTATGATGTGTTGTATCAGGTTTCTGATTTATATGGAGTAGCTAGAAATGAATTTACATGATAAAATAGAGCATTTACTACCCATAAAGGGTATAAAATACTAACCCAATTTGTACTGCAGAAGTTTATGTGACTTTTATTACAGGTACTTTGGTTGTTTCTATCTGCTTGAGATTATTTCTTAGGGTTTTTGCAATATTCATTTTAAACGTTAAAACTCCAAGATTAGATTAAAATCTAAGTATCTGGTAAATAACATATATTGTGAAAGATTACGTTGTGAATGAGAACATTTTCTAACAGAGAAATAGCTATGAAATCTTTTTATGATCTATCATCCAAATAGTGCTATTAGAATCAGAGCTTTTAAAGATGTCTAATTTCTCAAACACTTTCCAAGTAATTTCATCTTTTACATTATATAACCATGTGTTCTGAAAGTGCTTTGAATAATAGAATCTCTTGGTCTGAGATTAATAACCACATCTGTTTGTTTACTTATGTGTTTAATAATAATAATGTCATATTTGTATAGCAATATTAATGTGCTTTCACATCTATTATGACATTCTGAGCTTACAATAGTCATACAAATAAATCATCTTTTAGTTAGGATCACTTCATATTGACTGTTTTTATATAAACATTGAATCAAAAGCCTGGGTTCAAATCCAGTCTTTGCTTTCTGCCTATACATGAGACTTACGAGAGTTGCTAACATTTAATAAACATATACAATTGCCAACTATTATGGTTTACATACTTCATTATTTAATGACCCCTGGCATTGGCACCTTTATAATTTCTTTTTTATAGGTTACAACACTGAGGTTAAAGGAGAATGAGTAATTTGCCCAAGGTTACACAGCTTGTAAATGACAGAGCTGGTAATAGAATCCTTACCTGCCTGAACCCAAAGCCTAACTTTAATTGCAACTAGACTGCACTTCTTTAAACCATGGAGACTAGGGACACAGCTTCCATAGAAGAATGCTTTGCTGTCAATGATCCTGCCTACCTGAAATGTAAATTGTGGACTTTATGGAGCCACATTGGTAACCTAACACTAAGTTTATATTTTATAGCCGTCACTTACCTTTGCACGAAGATTTGCCACAGGATTTGTCACTGTTGCCATTCTAACACTTCCCAATCAAATAGAAAACAGTCCTAAAATGAAAATGTTGATCAAAACACTTTCCAGTTTCTCAGTCTTGATGTTACTGGTTTTTTCATCCTGGATGTTGTATTTTGTTCTATTGAGAGAAGTCAGATTCAGAAGCATTTTCTCAAAGTGTGATGAAACAGAGGAGTTCTAGAGCTAACCAAGTAGGGCAGCTCAAGGAAGCACAACATGAAGGAGACATTCAGAGAGGATGAGTGAAGAGCTGCGAAGGGCCATGAAGAAAGAGCCAACTGTCAGTGTGAATGGAAAACAATAAAAATACCAAGAAAGGAGGAAGGCTGTGGAGGAAGGGCATAGATTAGCAATTAGATCTAAGATAGTAGATGACACCAGCACATGCATTTGGTTGCAGTGCGGGAGAAAACCCCTGAGCTTAGGATACTTAGCATTTTATAATGATAGGCATGCCAGCCTTTGCTCTGAAGGGAGACATTATGTTTATTTTTCTGGACAATAATCATTCCTGGAGGGAGATACAATCTCTGTCTTCCAAGGCTCTTTGATAAACAAACATCCTTCAAAGAACAAAGGCAACCAGTGCCTGTACTTCCAGGATAAGCAGATGCTTGTGGGACTGACAAACATTTGTGTTCCATTAATATCCACCCTTGTTTCTATACTGTCTTGGCGTCTGGCAAGTTTTTCCCAAGGTGAATACACTCCATTGTCAACCCCAGTGGTGTCATTAATCCCTTCAGCTAAACTCAAGGACAAGTTCTATATTACCTATTCTATGTGGATAACTTCCGTCTAGGGATAACAGCCCACAGGATGTAAAATAGTCATTCCTCCTGAAAGCATCCCTGGGTAGTCTCACTTTAAAGAGATTCCTACAGTTATCTGAGGTTCTCTTGATCCACTGGTGGTAGTTCTTTAAACACTTGGAGGTCTCTTGTGAATACCTCTAAAGTATATGTCACTGTGTTTTCAGGGGGGAAATAAATTCATGACTGGCTTTTATATAAGAAGTCCATTCCTGAAAGTGTCATAGTGCTGTGGAGATAATGCTATTTAAAATTATTGGGCCTCCCAAGTGGGACCTACACCAGTTGGAGGGTACAGATTGATGGAGCCTCCAGGCCAGCTGGTCAGTATTAGTTTTCCCAACTTAGTTCAAATGGTTGAGACTAGTCTTTGTGTTTGGAGGGGGAGCCAGTCTAATTTGTTCTGTTTGTCTTGTCATCTGCCTGGTGACATTTGTCTGCTCCATGCAATGATTAAGCTGTGACAAATGGTAAATGCAAATTGATAAATGGGGGTGTTGAAAGATGATTTGTATGTGAGGCACAGAAGTTAGGATTCTGTACTCTTTCTGATGAACTTCTCTCTATGAGGGGACAATGTTCAAATCATGGTAGGAGCAGTCTGGTAGGAATGACAGATGCAGAAAGTCATTTTAATATAAGGCTCTTGCAACAGTTTGGGAGATGTGCATCAGGGTGTTTTCATTTAGGAGGATCCGCCAGAGTGGCTCTGACAAACAGCATGTCTCAATGTCCCTACCACTCCCCTAAGATTTTTATTCATTCCCCATCCAAGTGCTAAGGTTGTTGCTCTCCCTTCACTGGCACAAAATCAGCATTTCCCATTCAAGTAGCAATTATGACATTTGTTTTTCAGTCATCTTCTATTTGCATCCAGATCTTTCATTTGGAAGTATCAAATACTATACAACAGTGCAGTTTTATAAAACTCATAGAGACACATTACATTGCCCACTTTTGCCAAGGTGGGCTACCATAGCACACTTGGCTTAGAGTATGCTTATGCAAATATTCATTATTCTCATAATCTAGGACTATATACATATATCCAATAAGAGAATCCCGGTGGCTGACCATAATTAAGTTTGAATCCCCTAGGGCCCCTTTTAACCATGCTGATGTTCAGAGAGTATAGAAACCAGTCCTGCCTGAGGTAACAGTTAGGGGAAAGAAAGATACACCATGTTCATGAATGGGCAGAGCAAAATGCCAATTTTTCCAAATAAATCTATATAGCTCCCCAACCTCTTTGACCTGTGTATTACCCATAGAGCAGGTGAGAGGAACAGGTCTCTTTTTGGAGATAATTGTCTTCAATACCTAACTACCTTACTAACATTGTGGACCAGGAGGAGGTAAGGAAGGTAGAGTCAGAAATATTTTTGGCTTAATTTTTGAGGAAATGTTTCCAGTGCTCAATATTATCAGATACCTGTGGATGTATGGAAGGACTATCAAATTTCTAGACTATATGGAGTCCAGCATGGAGTGGCTTTTCCAATAAGAGTTGAAACATTGTCATAATGGAAATTTTTTGAAAAGCCAAATACATGACACAATAACTTGCATCAAGGACCATAATGTTATAGCCAGAAAATGTCAAGGACCATAATGTTATAGCCAGAGTGGACATGACAAGTATCAACACTCTAACCTGTGTTCCAGTGGTGAGACATGGCCAACAACCCCAAGAAGGTAGTCAAAAGTCTGATGTAGTTAATCTGCTAGGAGTGAGATGGAGCAATACCCCTTTCAATGTGTCCTTTCTGACTGTGAGATAAATAAGTCAACTTTTGGCAGGAGCCACAAGTCTGGCATGTGGTAGGCAACACAGAGTCCTTTAGTTTGTGGTTGGCTTTCAATTGTAGATGTGTTTCCATAAGATAAGGGGTTCAGGCAGCAATCACAGCAATCTGAGTGGTTCAGGCTGTATCAGCTGCTTGACTCCAGTTGGTCTCATCAAAAGCTGACACTTACTAAGGCACATACATGAGTCACCAAGACAGTTTAATCCAAAGCCATCGTTGGTTTCCACAGTTTGCAATTCTGAAGAGCAGTGTCTTTAATCTGCTAGTCTGCAGTTTTCCAAGTGGCAGACCAAATATCTAGCCCATTGGCAACAACCCAGGAGTTGTAAAAAATATACCAAGATTCATCAAGCAAAGTACTGGCCAGAGCTTTGAGCTCTGCCCATTCAGCAGAATGACTAAATCTATTTTGGTTCTACTGTAGATGGTTCTGGGTTGGGCAGCCACAGCAGCCCCGTGGACAACATCATAATTCAGTTTAGACAAACTATCAGTGAACCAGACCTAGACATTTAGGGTGATCTCTGTGAATCGAGAACACCATTGAGTCAGCAGCTCTGTTTCAAATGTGTTGGAGTGGGGAAAAAGTTTTTCCCAACGGGAAGGCTGCCTCTGTTTCATATAAAGCTGAGATACCATGGCTCTGTTCTTGGCTATTTCATTTCCATTTGACAAGGAAGGCCTGTTAGGTCCTTTCTGTCTTTTATTATTGAAGGCAAGTTATTGGGTCAAGTCATTGAGCCCAAGTTGACCTACCCCAGTATCAGGTCAAAGAGTTGCAAGGCCTTCTTGGATCAAGTGGTCCATGTAGGTAAGAACCTAGCACTAAGCATTATATGGTTTTCAACAGGATGTACTTGCTAGTCATGTCAAGAAAGTGATACAGGTGAAGGTTGCCACCCTTTGCCAGAGGCTCCCATTGGCTAAATCATTAGCCACAGAAACTCTAAGCTCAAAAGGATGAGGAGATTTTTGGGGCTCCAAAGATACCAGCACTTCTCTACACGTAGCTCTTCCTAATCAGAAGAATCTCCACCGGCAATTTGGGATGGAGAAGTACCAGCATATAACATATCAATTTCTACTGTGCATTCATATGTTAAAAAAACATTGAATTGGCCCAAATGACCCCACCCACAGTGTCACATTAGCTTTCTTTCACCTCCATGAGCCCTATCTAAACTCCCTTAGCTCATGAGACATGAAGAAAAGGGACGCCCATGAGAAACTTTCTCCCATTGTCTGGTATTTTCCAAACGCGTTGTCTACCTTTATTCTTCTGTACTATTGTTCATGAAATTCCCTCTGCCTGATATATCCTTCTCATCTCTCGCTGTCAATATTTGTCTCTTTTAGAGCCCAGCTGAACTGCTGTATTCTCTGTAAAGCATTTGCTAACCACACCCGCTGGGCTGCACGTATGTGCTTTTCCTTGAGGGTTCTCATTGCCTATTGCTGTTATGGTAAGCATCCCACTGTGCTACCACTGTTTGTTCACATGTCTCTTTATGCAGCTAGCCTGTGATGTTCTCAGGGCATGGGCCCTCTTTTGCTCATCTTTCTATCTTGGTGTCTGGTGCCATGCTTGTTTACTGAACACTCACTCTTATGAGCATGGAGAAATAAGCTAGCTCCTATTGGAGTAGCATCTTATTTACCTTCCATTACTTTTTGACATTTAATAGGTCTTTCTTCTGTCCTGTTATTAAAGTTAAATATATTTCCTTTTCAAAGTTGAATATAATCAAATAATAGTGCTAGGAAAACAGTTATGGTTTATAGATCAGATTGTTGATATGATATGGAAAGTTAACAACGATTCAAGTTATTTGACCTAAAATCATATCTATTGCAAACTTCATTTGGCTACAAGAAGGTCTGATGGGCAAATTAATAGCTTTAATATGTTATAAGCACTCATAGAGCATTAACCATATTGTAAGCAGCAAATATTAGTGGTTAGCCGAAACAGATATCAGGCCAGACTGAGTTTGTTTCCTATTTCTATTAACTACTGACTGTAGTTAAGCTATCTAACTTTTTTTCTGTCTAGTTTTTCCTCTGTATCATAAAAACAGCTATTTCAGAATATCACTGGAAGAAATTAAATATGATAATGCTTGTAAAGAGTATAGAATAATTCCCAATAACAATACATGCCCAATAAACGACAAAGCAAGGGATTCATTTAGGATGGGACTCCTTGAAAAATGGATAAAAATTACATAACATTTGTATTAATGGACACTAATGACTTTTGTATATTTGTATTTGTATATTTTGTATATAATAATACAAAAATTTTGTATTATGTTTTGTTGTATATTTTATCTTCTGATTCTAAAACACAACTGTGAGACAAGCAATGAAGGTATCGATATCTTAACAATGAGGCAACAAGGTCTCAGAGAT